GCCAAATGAGTAATTTTGGATGCTCGCAGGAGGTCTGGACTCGTGTGTGACTTTTTTTTTGGGGGGGGGTTATTTTATGGCCCATTCACACCTACCAGATTACTCCCCTGCGATAAGGCAGCTGTCAATGCACCATGTTGGAATGTACAACATTTTAATGTACTAAATCTGCCGAACATCTATCTTCATATATTGAATCTAATTAAGATTGCATGGGTCACCAAAGAAGCCAGCTGTGTTTTAGAAGTGCTGGAGGCCATGACATTCATCCCCGCAGGAGGAGGTGATAAAGGTGAAATTCAATCACCTGGACAGGTCGTCACGCATTGCACCCTGTGGTGTTGATGGGGGTAACATGCGCATTGGGAAGACACTCTCAAGATATCATGCATTACATATGGAGGTGGCTGCCCATCATCTAAGGATCAACGGACAAGGTGTTGACCTAGGCCGAGGAATGACCTGCAATACGATGGTGCCCCCTGCTGGAGGACTTCAGTGCATGGTGACAAATATTAAGGAAGATGCGGATTGGCCGAAAAAACCTATAAGGGGCATACAGAACTCTAGGTAAAAGGGGTGACCATGTGCCTGTATGAAAGGGTCCTGTGTACTATAAAAGCCAGTCCTCAGCACGCTGACCCGAGCGATGACAGCTAGCTCTGCCTAACTGTTTCCTATTGGCCAGCACCTGCCAGGTCCCGCTAATAACTAACAACTGGGTGGAGCCAGCCGTGACATTACAGCCGCTTCCGCCCAGTTGTTATTGTATAATGACAGATCTGCATCCCCAGGACATTTGGGACGCTGATCTGTCAACCCAACTGGCCGGAACCAGCAGTGAGATCACAGCTTGCTCTGCCCAGCTGTCATTTGCGTAGAGATTGGTCGGCCCTTCGGCCGACCTTTCTCCACACTTCAGTTGTCACTTGGCTGCCTTCAGCTGCTGTACGGGCCATTGTGAATACTCCTAGTGTCAGATTTACGGCTTTATAAATACGCCCCATGGTAAAAAAAAATCACAGCATTGCAAAAAAAAAAGGTCTGCAGAGCAAATACACTGATCAGTGCGCTGGTCTGAATTGGTGAATGTGGTGAAATTTCTATTTGAAAAGAATGCCCAATCATGTGCCGTAGAATTTAAAAAAAACTGTATTTCTGCTTGCACAGTTTAAGGGGGGGAGGGGGTGCTTTTCACTCACCTCATAGTTCTAGCCGACCTGTGACAATGAGACTGTCACTAGAAAATTCGTATGAATTTTCCTGAAATTTGTAAATTCGGAAGCATCCGAAATCCGAATTGCAGTTTCCGAATTATATCCGAAATATGAAATTCCGTTAGCGAATTTCGGATCCGAATTTCTTTGAAACAGGAACTAATATTACCCCTGTAAATGAGGTTGAACAACATGGCAAGATTTTTTTTTTAATCCGAAATACGGATCCGCTGCTGCTGAGGGTTGCATTACAATACGCAGGCAGGAAATACGAAATTCCGCTGACGGAATTTCGTTCCGTTACAAACATTCATTATATTGAAGTTAAAAAGCAAAGTACATTTATATTGGAGTTGATGGTGGTTTTTTTTTATCCGAAATACAAAATTCGGATCCGGAATCTGTTAACGGAATTCGAATTTCGGATAAAAAACAACTACCACATCGACTCCAATAATAACAAAGGTATTTTTGCATTTTAACTTCATCATAACGAATGTTCGTACAGTTACGAAAATGTGCCGAAACTAACGAAAATTCGTATTTCTTACGAATCCGAATTGAGTTTCGGACACGAATTACGAAATAATGGATATTACGAAACGGAACAAATTTTTTGACGGCGCACAAGTCTAACTGTCACAGGTCGGCTCAGTAGACCGGGAAGTGAGCGAACACATACCGGCGTTCGCTCACTTCTCGATCCTGTCACGGCTCTCTGCCATGACAAGGGAGGGGTTGGATTCCCCTTCTCCCCGATCCTCCAGCGCTGACTGGCGGAATGGACGGGGGAGGGGGCGGGTACAGCTGGCTCTGCCTAAGAGCTGTCAATCACGCAGCTGGTCAGATCCAGACATAATTGTCGGGATCCGCTTCAGCTGCGGCGTTTCAGTATACCGCAAGCTGCAGCTCGCGGTATACTGAGCCTAGGGTGACGGGAGGACGCTAGTTTGTGTCCTCCTGTTACCCTAAGGAGAACTATGGGGAAAAGCCCTATCCCCATAGTTCTCCTTTAAGTGATATGTCCAGGCTCAGCTCTTCTGGGCTCAGGTTTTGTTACCTCTTAAAACAACCTTGGCTACTCACCTAGACTAATTTCACTCTTGCATCCCAGTAACTTGCACTGGTTTGTCTTCTTTATTCTTTTGGCCCCAAATACTCTTCAGGTTACCCATTTGTGTGATATGTACTGCCTGCCAGTGAGGTAATTATGTGGTTTGCTGTCTAGAGCTGTCAGCAGAACCAGTCCATCCACATCGTGGGTGGTCCCGATGAAGACCTGGTAATGCTAGAACTAACATTCATGTTGAGAGCCTGTCTTCTGAACAGCTGATAGTTACTAGTTCCCTTTGCTGCTCCTCAGCTCAGCCCTGGTCCATGGGCTATGCAGTAATATTACATTAGTATCCTTCAATACTCTATGGCTCATTTCTGGTCTCTGGGCTTTATGGGAACATTACACCGACTTATGCATGAACAAAGTTAAACTGAATGGAAAGAAGTCCCAACAACATATTCATATTTGTTTGTATTTTTGAGTTTGTGGAAGAATAGTATTATAGCATGTTCTGCAGATAACATTTCTCATCATCATCATCTTCTCCCATCTCAGTAATTACACAGGAGGAATGCAATCCTCGTCCATGTTCCTCCAGGAAAGGGACTGACTGGAAGAAACCTGAAGCCCCCCTCATAAGTCAAGTCCTAGACCGTATCTATGATATGTACATCATGGAAGACCTCACGAGCTCCATTAAACATATCTCTGCCTCAGTCGCTCGAACCCGGTTCCCCTGGTTGGAATACATTCGGTCCCCTGACTACCTTACCCTCAGATAGGAGAACGCTGACCTGCTCCTGATGGGGAAACCTTATCCCATCTCCTCCCTGCCTTTCCTGTTTCCCCACCCTTTTTAGGTATATACCCTACTACCATCTCTCTCTCTTTAGTGACCTAGTAACTACTGGCCCATTTATGCCGTATCCTTTTTTTTTTTTTTTTCTTTCCTTTTCTTTCCTTTTCCGTCACTTAACCCCTTACCCACACAACCTACTCACTTTTTTTTTTCTTCTATTGTTCTGGTTTGTTTTGTTGTGTTGTGCACACTAAAGTTTTAAAAACGACATCTCATATGCATGCTATTGACAGGATGTCGTTTCACTTAGGGATAGAAGTCCCTTCCCCCCTCACACACCTCCCTCAGATCCACAGATACGCTCATAAGCACTTGGACACTTATATGTCCCCCTCTTGAGATATTTACAGGTCACTGACTAGCTGAGCAGGGGGAACACCCTCCCCTTATTTTTTTCAACGCTTTAAATATTTTATTTTGTTTACTTTGTCATATACATCGCAATGCATTTGGTGTATTTTCTTGATGACCGCCCAAGAGAGCAACTATTTGCTACTTATGCACTTGTTTTTCTCTTCTTGTGATCACCGTCAAAGCTTTTAAAATATAAAATAAAAAAATTATTGGTAACATAGGTTGTCTAGTAGTCCCACAATTCAGAGAACTGCTCCTCACTGTAGCTTTCTCTGCAAAACTTCTAGTCCACAGAGTGACCAATGTCCTTCCTTTAGATTGAAGGGATATTAATTCCAAATCCAGACAGGATTTCAGTTACACACTATGGTGGAAGAAGAGGGGCCAAAATGCAAACGTGAAGCCCTTATATGACTCTTACATGACATCAGTGACTAGCTGTTGTAAGAGCTTACAGAAAAAAGTCAGTGGGTCATAGGAAAGTCCTCTGAATAAAGGGGACCCCTTGAGCTATAGTAAAACTGAGTGCTGATGAAGCGTGAATCATGCTTCCTGAATGCAGTTCGGTGGAGAGTCATTGGATGCCTTCTCTAAAGAGTTGGGATTAGGAAGCTATTTAACCCCTTCGTGATGGGAGACGTACACTGTATGTCCTGTCACGAAGCGCCTAAATGACTGGCCACGTACACTGTAAGTGACGAGTTATTTGCGGCTTTGTAATGCTGGTAACTGCTGATTCCCAGTATTGAGGCATTCATTAATGAAAGAATGAAGCCGTTACATACAAATACCGAATCGCTAAATAGCGATCCGGTATTTGACAGAGCAGTGAGTCACCTATCTGCTATTCGTTTTTGACAGCTCCATAGACTGGCCCGATGTGATACATTTCAGGCATAATGTTACAATGTATCTCTGTGCCTGAAATGTATCACTTCTGATCGTCTGGGCAGGATCAGAAACCTTTAGTGAGATCTGATTCTGACATGCTGTCAGGATCAGTCCCTAGGGTTATTATTAGCTGTTCCTAAGTTTGAAGCAGCCTAATAATAACCAAAAATTAAAAAAGTTAATTTATCAAGCAGTCGTAGTGAAAAACTGTGAAAAACTGACATAAAAGTGTAAAAAAAATAAGAAAATAAAAATTATATATGAATATATTTTTTATACTATAATTATTATAACAAAATTTATAAAAATATAATAATAATCAAAACTTGTGAAAAAAGTGTTTTCTTTACGTTTTTCCTCATTTTTTTATTTGAACTAAGTGAGGCGTTAGGTAGGCATGTTTGATATAATTATATTATATCGCCCTATCTGTCCTCTAAAAAACAATATATAATATGTGCGGATACATTTAGTAAGAAAGTATATTACTGCTGTGGAATCACACAGCAACAATGTAACAAGTGTGTGACGGACAGAAATGTAAAACTAGCTCAGTCATAAAGGGGTTAAATGAGAGCGGGAGGCAGTTGCACTGACCCGAGGTTCTCCAAGACATTGAAAGAGTTCACACCCCTACTCTCCATTATTTTTTTGTTTATTGTCACAGTTTTTTTTATCTTGCCAGTTTTTATATGATCTGTGGGCTTTAGGTAGTTGTATGCGTGTCTAAAATGTATAGTTAGTACAGTCATTTAGATCATGTTAAGCTAAATGGATGTTCGCAGTGTTCATATGTGACTGACGTAGGTTTTTTCTTGCACGTTGCTTGTTTCCTGTGATGACTCGAATTATGTCTGAGGTGTTACATTAGTAAGGGTGTGGTCATGCCCTTTTCCGGCTTAAACGGTTTCATTGTTGCTTTTTTTTTTTACCGGGTTTCTTTTATTTGAGCATAGTAACTAACATATCAAGGCTGATTGACTAATGGAATTAAGACATTTCTATAAGGCCGCTTTCACATGCGCGCTGTCAGTTCCGATCACCAGGGGGTCCATCTATGCATCGCATGCTGATCAGAACAGTTCGGAACTGATGTCACCATTATTAGACAGACATGTGTGATTCCTTTCTTTCGTAATTGACATTTGAACGGGTTTCTTTACATTTGGACATTCGGATTCATCCAAAGTTCTGAATGACAGAAATAACGAATCTGAACGAATGTTTGATAACGAAATTCGTATGCAATCCGAAATGTTTCCCGAATGTCATTCCGAACAGAACAAATACAGTATTCGGGAGAGCTGTGTGTCATTCTGTAACAGCTCTCTGATTCTTTGCTGACATTTGGACTCGCATCCTGAATGTAAACAAAGAATCTGCCAGTTGTCATAGAATGCAGAAAAGTGTTAAACAGTCCACAGAAATAATAGTAATTAATTAGTTTTTTTTGCAGTTTAACCCCTTCATGACTGAGCTAGTTTTCAGTTTCTGTTCATAAATGACTGACACACTTTTTACATTTTTGCTGTGTGATTCTTCCACAGCAGTAATATACTTTCTTACTAAATGTACCCACACATATTGTATATAGTTTTTTTAGAGGACAGATAGGGCTATATAATTATATCACATATGTGTACCTAACCACTCACTTAGTTTGAATAAAATATAAAAAAAATGAGGAAGAAAACACTTTTTTTCAGAAGTTTTGATTATTATTATTATTATTTTAGAAATTTGTTATAATAATTATAGTATAAAAATATATTTACATATCATTTTTATTTTCCTCATTTTGTTTTACACTTTATTTTTTATTTTTTACACTTTGTGTACTTTTTTTTGTCAGTTTATATCAAGCAGTCCCTATGACTGCTTGAAAAAATAACTTTTTTTTACATTTTTGGCTATTATTAGGCTGCTCCAAACTTAGAAACAGCTAATACTAACCTTAGAGGCTGATCCTGACAGCATGTCAGATTCAGATCTCACTAAAAGGTTTTTGATCGGCCCAGACAATCAGAAGTCTGATACATTTCACTCAAAGAGATACATTGTATCTCTTTGGTGAAATGTATCATAAACATCGGGCTATCGAGCTGTCAAAACGAATAGCAGAGAGGTGACTCACTCTGCTACCTCTATGCTATTTTCAGCTGTCAAATACGGGATCGCTATTTAGCGGTCCCGTATTTGCATGTAGCGGCTTCATTCTTTCATTAGTGAAAGAAAAAAGCTTTTACAAAAGCTTAACTATTTCATTAATGAATGCCTCAATACTGAGACATTCATTAATGACTGGTAACTGCTGAGAATCAGCTGTTACTGGCATTACAAAGCCTGATATAACTCGTCACGTACAGCGTGTACGTGGCCAGTCATATAGGCACTTCGTGACGGGACGTACAGTGTACGTCTCCCGTCACGAAGGGGTTAAATTGCTTTTAAGTGGGTTAGGGTCTCTACTTGGCTTATCAAGGTTTTAAAATTGTACTTGCATCTCCTTCATTGTAGTCTAAAGCTGGCCACACACCTATAGATTATCTGCAGATTTTCTATGCTCATGGGAAAAAGTGCAACAGATTCCTCCATCTACGCTACACTGTGTGGATGGAGGAATCTCCCACTGGGCCAAGCTTCAGTATCTTGCTAGTCGGCCCCGATGGGTGTCAAAATGCCTGAACAATCTGATTGGATGCAGGCATTGTTCAGGTATTTTGAGAGCCAGAGGAGCCGACTAGCAAGATAATCTTCACATAATCTATAGGTGTATGGCCAGCTTTAGGAGGAGCTGTGGGGGGCCTGTCCATTCTATATTAATGAAGTCAGTGAGAGAAACACAATCCACCCAATCTAGTCCTAAGTCTTCCTCTATAAGGACAGATCACTGTGAAGGTGATCAGAAAAACCTGGATTCAGCCACATTGCCTCATTTAACAAAACATCTAAAAGGTTAGAAATAAAATAAATAAATATATATATATATATATATTGTATGTTATGCTGTGTAAACAGGAACACATAACAAACACATAGAGGGGTTTTCTCAAATTCTCAAATTTGACTGCAAAAGCAAAACTACAATTTCAGTTACTTTATTTCTATAGGTCAGAAAATATCAGATCTCTCACTTCCAGAGGACACAGAGACAGGAGAGGTTTATGTCGGCAACAGGAGCCGAGTACAGAAAACTTGGAAGTAACATTGTCCAGGAAAACCCAACAGATTTACAGGTAAGTGACCATTCCACTAGTGAAGAGAGCCTCAGCACTGCCTAAAGAGACTCCAACACTGCTCATCCAGAACAAAGTGACAGAGAAAATCAATTTCTACCCAACTAAGCAAAACCTTGTATTACTTACTATAGCAGATTATATAGTGTATGGTCATCTTATTGGATATATGCTTACTGATAAATGTATGTAAAGAAGTCCTCCAATGGACTTATGATAAGAGGGAATGGCTAAACCTGGCCATACATTAGTAGATTTCTTTCATTCAGCCTACTGGGTGAACAAAGATCGATCCAACAGATTGCTCCATCCTCGATATTTTACTCTGACAGTAGACGTCTGCCGATGTTGCTCTGTGTGGCCAGCTTTAGTTAGAATCTATTTTATAGTGATGCTGCATTTGAGAAATGTAGCCATAAAGCCCATTGGGTTCAGACGTGGTTTTGTGTGTCATGACCAGAGGTTAGGCGTTCCTTCATGAGCATCATTTATGGTACTGACGAGGGATGCACCGATATATCGTCCGCCGAAAACATATTGGCCGAAAATGGCACTTTTGGCTTAATGCCAAAAGTGCAATTTTTCTGCCGATATAGCGGTGCATCCGTACTTTCTTTCATCCCCGTTGGGACACAGAGCAGCACCCAGCGGGGATGAAAGAAAACACGGATGCACCGCAGGAGAGAAACTGTCACAGGCGGCTGAGTGCTGCGGGAGGAGAGCGCTGGGAGTGACCAGTGTCTCTCCTCCCCGCACTGCTAAGCCTCCTGTCACAGATCGGCAGAGCGGTGTGTGGGCGGAGACAGATGTCATTGCTGTGCTGTGACAGCTTACAAGCAGAGCGGGTACAAGCAGTCAGTGATCAGTGATCGCTGAGTGTTTGTACATAATTGAGGGCAGAGTATGGTTACAGTGTCTTCATCTATGTATGAATGGGAAATGCTCTACATCACCTCCTGTCCATTCATGATTGTGGATATAGTAAACACACTCTGTCCTCATGTTATGAATGGACAGGAACACTCAGTATAGAGGATTTCTGTTCATTAATAACAGGGGCTGCGGAAAAAGAGATTGATTCTATACAGCCACTGAAATCACTTGTATGCAGCCTGCTTGTACAACTTCCTCTTCAATGGTCCGCCCCCCTGCCGGCAGCCTCCCTCTGTGTGGTTGTTATTCGGGGTCCCCGCCCTTCTGGGGGACCCCAGCCCACAGCAAATACCTTCAGGATGGAGAACAGGGAGTAGAGCAGAGTGTGACGTACGCCCGACCCAAACCCACTGTACGTCAATCACCCGTGACCATACACAAGTCTGAACCGAGCGTGGGCGTCACAAGGCCGTGGCGATACCACTGTCAGCCTCACCCTGCACCAAGATTTTGCAGCTTGTGGGACACAATCTCAGGCCAGCAGACTGAGAGCAATCGTCACCAGGGTGGGTTAACTCCGCAGTTAACCCTTTACACACCAAACGTTCGCTGCCACCATGTGTTTTCCGGAACACAAACCGTGCCCAGCAAATGCTGCGACCATTTAAAACACTTAAACAATGCCTGTGATACTGCTGTCCTCTCAGACAGGAATATGACAGGATTTACAGAGGCAAGGATACTTTAAGTTCGTATTTAGAGCGTAGAGATAAGCTTAACGAATTTTAAGATCGTCCTTTAATAAGAGAAACGGTGCAGAAAATATACAGAAAAAGATATTCATAAAAAGAGACAAAGTATATATACAACAGCAAAATAAAAGGGAATAAAAGGAGAATACTCAACAGTCCTGGAATTAGGAGTCCTGACAGAGTGCAGAGTTCAATAAACAGAAGAGAAGTCTGCAGGGCTCTTCTTCAAGCAAGCATTCAGCAGATAATGTCCAGAGATTAAAGGGGAACTCTTATGCGATGTTAAGACTTCTTAGTTCCTTTCTTGATGTTTTAATACAAGAGCCTCCTCTAGTGGCTTTGACAGCATATTTTATTAGCATTCTAAGGATGTGTCCCGGAGCCGGCCCCTAGGGCAGGGCTGGGGATGGAAAGCCGGAGGAGGATGAACCTTTATTTTACACTATCACCGCCTAATTCCAAATTATGTAATGGAGCTGATATTGTAACTTAGGTTTATGACTTTTGGTTGAATGTGAGGTCACCTCCTCTACCAGACCTGCTCCTGTTTATATTAACTTGTCCACTGGTGACAGAAGAATGCCCGATGACGTGCATTTAATTAGGGCTCACTTCTGCTGGGGGAGGGCAATAAAAGATCACAGGCCAGATAGCCGATCTCTGTTCTGTGGAATGTGGGGGGACCTGGCAAATGACTAAATGAAGGCCTGTATTTGCACTGAACTGGGGGACAAAAAATTATATTTTTTATATTTAGACTCACCCCCCATTATCGTCACAAGACGTCTGATCTCCACTCTTTTCTGTGATCAGTGACACGGGACCGGTGTACTCGCAACACTCCTGTGTCAGCTGTCACAAACGGAGCTGTACAGAAGATACAGCACATCTGTACTGGAGGGCAGGCTCATAAAGAGAACCTGTCACCTCCGAATGCACATCTTCTGTCTCTCAGCTGATAGCTTTCTGGATGGAGAAGGAGGGAGTGCAAAATAACCTCTGTTCAAGTTTAGCACTGTGGGTCCTTAGGCGTAGACTAATATCAGTTTGTATTCATTACACAAATAAATACACGCTCCCCTACCTCTATGTTATTTGGCAGTACAATAGACTATGCGGAAATATCTACAGGTGTTACCTGGCTGACGTTCAATGAAAGGAGTGACTCAAATTATGATCTGACACGTCTATAGGCACCTTCTGGGGCGTCACAGACAGATAACAAATTGGATAGAAGGGGAAATCCTCCGCACACCTTGCAGCAATCAAGGCCTATGTAGACAATGGTGATTGCAGTGATGAACGCGGATGGCACCGTGCAGACACAATATAGGAAAAGGAATCACCAGCACTCAGTAGAATAATCCAACATGTCCATTTATTGGACATAGACGTCACACAATCACAAGGGCCAACGTTTCGAGACCACGCAGGGTCTCTTCATCAGGGCATAAAGGTGGGAGCAGAGTAGAGATAGTTGGGTGGGAATATTTTCTAGGAAGACCCGATAGACATTCACATTGAGAGTTACAAAGGAACTATACACAGCATTAAAGAAGAGAACCATATGAACATTTATTTCACTAACTGACATGCTGGTAATTAATTGTTCGTCAAAATCAGAACTAAAAACAAATCAAAACTAGAACAAAAATCTAATTTTTGGTAAACTAAACAAAGGAAGTTTGCTTGTGGTAGACAGAAGAGTAACTTAAAGCATATGTATAACATATTTTGTTAATGTTTTGGATGGAATATGGAAGGGTTAAACCCCTCTTTGCTGTATGTGTCCCATGGGGAAGATTTCCCTTCACTTCCAGTGCTGGAGGCAGAATAGCAAGCGAGTGACAATCTCTACAATGTGACAAAATCTCCTCTTAGTTAGTTGTCACAGGAACAGGTGTCCCAATCATAAGATTTATCCTCAGCTCTTGTTTCTGGTGACAACTGCAAAAATCTCTTGTTTTGGGTACAATGGTCACCAAGATGAATAGAACGAGTGGATCAAGGGGCGTAACTAGAAATCACAGAGCCCCATAGCAAAATTTTGTATGGGGCCCCGTGATTGCTAGTTATGTCACTTGCAGAGCCCACCATATACTCTCTCTTTAATGGGCTCTGCAAGGTCTCAGTTGGGTTGCACGCCACTTACCTGTCAGCGTTGTCCACCTCCGTGGTCGCCGGGCCCCCGTCTCCTCTTCCATCCCCGTGCTCCGCCCCTTCTATCGACGGGCCCCGCCTCCTCTTACATCACTGGCCCCACCTGCTCTCAGATCGCTGGCCAGTGATGTGAAAGGAGGCGGGGTTGCTGTTAGGTGGGCCTTCTTTACTGCAAACATCGTTGTAACCGGCCTCTTCTGCCACATCTGCAGGCTGTCACTGACACAGCTCCTCAGCTGCTGCTGAGCTATGTCAGTGACAGCCTGCACCCCGAGACGCCATAGCTACCCAGGCGGCCCACACGGTATCAGAGGGATGCCCTGACTGGGCCCACCTGTGCCCGGGCCCCATAGCGGCCGCCTGGGTTGCTATGGCGATTGTTACGCCACTGGGTGGATCCCCTCAGCGAGGTCATAGACTTCAATTAAAACATTTTTCAAAATGCATTCCACCTGTAAGAAATAAAAAGGAGAGAGAGAGAAGAGAGAGAGAGA